TGCGGTCGTGTTCTTGTGTGTCCATGTAAATAGCCTGTTTTTTGTATAATTTTTTTTGTATTTTACGTATATATTTCCCTATCACACTTTTCATCCTTCTACTAAATATACTTTCCTGCAACCCGCCTCACTCAATGTGGAACGAATTCTATTATTTACTCACCATTATCTAGAATCTCCAGTTGAAACTAGCCAGCCAGCTAACTAGCTAACTAGCTACTTGCTATTAGCCACCGTTAGCGGTTTTCACCCAGAACATCGGATTTTCTGCCGGAATAACTGAATCACTGGACCTTAACACCGGATCTAGCTAGCCGCAACCGAATGGATGTCGAATGGATGTTGCTGTAGGCTAATCACCACTGCCCCCGTAGCACCAGTTAGCCTTGAGCCTTGAGCTAGCCCCGGCTATCTACCTCTCTGTCTACTGGACGGGAGTAGCCAGCTAACCAGCTAACTAGCTACTTGCTATTAGCCAACGTTAGCAGCTTTTTCTCCATTGTCCGTGGCCTGCACTACCTACCAGCCAGCTCTAGCCTGGACTATTATTGGCCAGTCTGCACTGTCTGCACAGCGAGTTATCGACCCAGAACCTATCGGATTTTCTGCCGGAATCATTGAATCACTGGACCTTTAACACTGGATAATTGCAACTAGCTAGCTGCAACCAAATGAACGTTGTTATTGGCTAATCAGCCTTGAGCTAGCCTTGAGTCAAGCACATCTCCCGGCTATCTACCTCTCTGTCAACCGGATGGGACCTCCTAGAGTCGACACGGAGCCCTGCCGATCCATCACGACTGGTCTGCCGATGTAATCGTCTGTGGTTTCAACAGGCTTCCCGTTGCGATGACCACGAAGATCCATCTGCTAGCCCCGGCCCGCTAGCACACGCAAACTACAACCGTGCTTCCTGCTCGCTGTGCTGAAGCACCAATTTGAACTGCTCTCGGACTCACATATTGCTGTTCACTGGACCTTATGATCACTCAGCTGCACAGCGGATGCCTGCTGGACTGTTCCTTTACACGGTACCCTGTCCTGTTTAGCCTCAGCCCAAACCTTATCGCCATTACCAGTTGTTGTCTTAGGTCTCTCTAATAACACCTGTGATTGCTTTATGCCTCTCTCCCATGTCAATATGCCTTGCCTATTGCTGTTCCAGTTAGTTCTTATTATACAATTTCACTGTAGAACCCCAAGTCCCTCTCAAACTGCCTCAAATAGTTCCTTTGTTCCATCCCCCATACACGCCGAGACCAGCTCAATCGGTGCCTCCAGTGATGCTATCTCTTTCATTGTTACCCAACGCTTAGGTTTACCTCCACTGTACTCATATCCTTCCATATCCTTGTCTGTACATAATGCCCTGAATCATTTCTACAACGCCCGGAAATCTGCCCCCTTTATTCTCTGTACCCAACGCACTAGAAGACCAGTTCTTAAAGCCTTTAGCCGTATCCTTATTCTAGTCCTCCTCTGTTCCTCTGGTGATGTAGAGGCTAACCCAGGCCCTGCAGCCCCCAGTATCACTCCTACTCCCCAGGAGCTATCATTTGTTGACTTCTGTAACTGTAAAAGCCTTGGTTTTCTGCAAGTGAACATCAGAAGCCTACTTCCTAAGTTTGAGTTATTCACTGCGTTAGCACACTCCGCCAACCCTGATGTTCTAGCAGTGTCTGAATCCTGGCTTAGGAAGGCCACCAAAAATTCTGAAATTTCCATCCCCAACTACAACATAGTCCATCTAGATAGAACTGCCAAAGGGGGTGGAGTTGCAATCTACTGTAGAGATAGCCTGCAGAGCTCTATCATACTATCCAGGTCTGTGCCCAAACAGTTTGAGCTTCTACTTCTAAAAATCCACCTTTCCAGAAATAAGTCTCTCACTGTTGCCGCTACCCCCCTAAGCCCCCAGCTGTGCCCTGGCCACCATATGTGAATTGATTGCCCCCCATTTATCCTCAGAGTTCGTACTGCTTGGTGACCTAAATTGGGATATGCTTAACACCCCGGCCATCCTACAATCCAAACTAGATGCCCTCAATCTCACACAAATTATCAACGAACCTACCAGGTACAACCCTAAATCCGTAAACATGGGTACCCTCATAGATATCATCCTGACTAATTTACCCTCTAAATACACCTCAGCTGTCTTCAACCAGGATCTCAGCGATCACTGCCTTATTGCCTGCGTCCGTAACGGGTCCGCGGTCAAACGACCACCCCTCATCACTGTCAAACGCTCCCTAAAACACTTTAGCAAGCAGGCCTTCCTAATTGACCTGGCCCAGGTATCCTGGATGGATATAGATCTCATTCCGTCAATAGAGGATGCCTGGTTGTTCTTTAAGAGTACAGAACTAAGAACAGATATAGACCCTGGTTCTCCTCAGACTTGACTGCCCTTGACCAGCACAAAAACATCCTGTGGCGTACTGCATTAGCATCAAATAGCCCCCGCGATATGCAACTTTTCAGGGAAGTCAGGAACCAATATACACAAGCAGTTAGGAAAGCAAAGGCTAACTTTTTCAAACAGAAATTTGCATCCTGTAGCACTAACTCCAAAAGGTTTTGGGACACTGTAAAGTCCATGGAGAATAAGAGCACCTCCTCTCAGCTGCCCACTGCACTGAGGCTAGGAAACACTATCACCACCGATAAATCTGCAATAATCGAGAATTTCAACAAGCATTTTGCTACGGCTGGCCATGCTTTCCACCTGGATACCACTACCCCGGCCACCAGCTCTGTACCCTCCGCTGCAACTTGCACATGCCCCCCCCCCCCCCCCCCCCGCTTCTCCTTCACACAAATTCAGACAGCTGATGTTCTGAAAGAGCTGCAAAATCTGGACCCCTACAAATCATCTGGGCTAGACAATCTGGACCCTTTCTTTCTAAAAATAGCTGCCGAAATTGTCACAACCCCTATTACTAGCCTGTTCAACCTCTCTTTCGTAACGTCTGAGATCCCCAGAGATTGGAAAGCTGCCGCGGTCATCCCCCTCTTCAAAGGGGGTGACACTCTAGATCCAAACTGTTACAGACCTATATCCATCCTGCCCTGCCTTTCGAACGTTTTTGAAAGCCAAGTTAACAAACAGATCACCGACCATTTCGAATCCCACCGTACCTTCTCCGCTATGCAATCCGGTTTCCGAGCTGGTCATGGGTGCACCTCAGCCACGTTTAAGGTCCTAAACGATATTATAACCGCGATCGATAATAGACAGTACTGTGCAGCCGTCTTCATCGACCTGGCCAAGGCTTTCGACTCTGTCAACCACAGCATTCTTATTGGCAGACTAAATAGCCTTGGTTTCTCAAATGACTGCCTCGCCTGGTTCACCAACTACTTCTCAGATAGAGTTCAATGTGTCAAATCGGAGGGCCTGTTGTCTGGACCTATGGCAGTCTCTATGGGGGTGCCACAGGGTTCAATTCTTGGACCATCCTACCGATCCTTGACTTCGGCGATGTCATTTACAAAATAGCCTCCAACACTCTACTCAGCAAATTGGATGTAGTCTATCACAGTGCCATCCGTTTTGTCACCAAAGCCCCATATACTACCCACCACTGTGACCTGTACGCGCTTGTTGGCTGGTCCTCACTACATATTCGTCGCCAAACCCACTGGCTCCAGGCCATCTATAAATCACTGCTAGGCAAATCCCCGCCTTATCTTAGCTCATTGGTCACCATAGCAACACCCACCCGTAGTATGCGCTCCAGAAGGTATATCTCACTGGTCATCCCCAAAGCCAACACCTCCTTTGGCCGCCATTCCTTCCAGTTCTCTGCTGCCAATGACTGGAACGAATTGCAAAAATCTCTGAAGCTGGAGACACTTATCTCCCTCACTAACTTTAAGCATCAGTTGTCAGAGCAGCTTACCGATCACTGCACCTGTACACAGCCCATCTGAAATTAGCCCACCCAACTACCTCATCCCCATATTGTTATTTATTTTGCTCATTTGCACCCCAGTATCTCTATTTGCACATCATCTCTTACACATCTATCATTCCAGTGTTAATACTAATTGTAATTATTTTGCACTATAGCCTATTTATTGCCTTACCTCCATAACTTGCTACATTTGTACACACTGTATAATATATTTTCTGTTGTATTTTTGACTTTGTTTTGTTTTACCCCATATGTAACTCTGTGTTGTTGTTTTTATCGCACTGCTTTGCTTTATCTTGGCCAGGTCGCAGTTGTAAATGAGAACTTGTTCTCAACTGGCTTACCTGGTTAAATAAAGGTGAAATAAAAATAAATAAATAAAAATCTTAATTCGGAGCAGATATTTAACAATTTTTGGAAAATGTGGTCACATAAAAAACAGAGGGAGATTTTACAGAAATTCTGTTGCCAGACTTTCCAGGAAATGTGTTTAAAAAAAAAAAAAATCAGTGTAAATTGTTCATAGTAGACCATGTGCATAGAGTTGTATGGTTTGTTGAACTTTGAAATCATTTTTTTCTGTTTGGCATACATTTGAAGTGGAATTGCCCGTGTGCCTCCAGTTGACGAACTACACTTCCTCCCCAGGTACACTTACACACAGGTGTTCAGAGCACGTTAGATGGCTAATAAGCACAAGTGGTCGCCTCTGTCTTCTGTAAACAAGCGCTGTAACATGGATATATGGCTGGGTGGGAAGACTAACCCTAACCCTATAAAGGTGTGTAGTAATATAACCTTAATAAAAAAAAGAATATTATTATGAAAGATACGTTTCCACAACCGTTCCGCAAGCGATGCATGTTAACGTATAGAGGTAAGCGTCGGGACTCTTAACAAAAGTCCCCAGGATACCTTCATCAATAGGCGGTAAAGGTAGTTAGCGTTTATGAATGGGCTAAGTAGTGCCATACAGAGTAGAGACCTTCATTTGACTTGACTTATTCCTTTTAGCTCCTAGCGGAGGGCCTCATACCTACTTTTACCGAATTCCATTCCATTCTGTCTCTTTGTCTCCAGCCGCCATGGAAAGCGGTGGCAGAGGGAACGTGTGCGACTACAGCCACAACGTCACCTTCTTCTACGACTACGTAGGTAAGGACATCAGCAGAGACTGGCGTGTCAGGGACTGTGTGGTAGTGGTCCTGGGCCTGACCATCTGCCTCATCATGATCCTGTCCAACATAATGGTGATGGCAGCCATCTTGATCAACCGACGCTTCCACTTCCCCATCTACTTCCTGCTAGCCAACATGGCCGCCGCGGACCTGTTCGCCGGCTTGGCCTACACCAACCTCGTGCTCAACACAGGGCCCTGGACCATCAGGTAGTGCAGACATTAGGCTAGAGGCGGGTCAGTAACCGGAGGGTCACTGGTTTGAATCAGTATCCTAGATACCTGCCATTGTGCCCTTAAGCAAACTTAACCCTCAACTGCTCCACGGGCCCTACACTGTGGCTGACCCTGTCTTCCAACTTCTCAGTAGGTGTTTGTAATGTATGTGTGTCTCGAGTGGGTTTGGATAAAGGACATACTAATCTCAGTGTCTCTGTGACAGTTGACAACAGAGGAATCCTCTTCTTCTTCAGGCTGTCCAAGCAGCAATGGTTCATTAGGAATGCTCTGGTGGACATGAGCCTGACGGCGTCTGTGGCCAACCTGCTGGCTGTGGCGGTGGAGCGTCACCAGACCATAATTACCATGCAGGTAAAAAGACTAACTACTCTAACAGACTGCAAAGCCTTTTCCTTTGAATTAGTCTGGCTGTCCTTTTAGTATCTTATGACGTATTTTTACTAATTTGTATCATTCTATTCTAATTTGTGTTAGTTTATTATGTACATTGATTTGCTGTCTCTGTATGTACTGTGTTATATGTTTATTTTTATTATGATTATGCAGCTGCACAGCAAGATGACCAACCGGCGTGTGGTGCTGCTGATTGTATGCATCTGGGCAGTGGCTATCATCATGGGGCTGGTGCCCTCCATGGGGTGGAACTGTGAGTGCCAGCTTAGTGACTGCTCAATCATTGCCCCGCTCTACAGCCGCAGGTAACCGTCTAGGATCAGGTTCCCCTTGTCCATATAATATTATTTATTAAGCAAAGCTGATCCTAAATCAGCAGTCCTACTCTGAGATGCTTGATACATATGACCCCTGGTCGAGAGTGAGCTGGCAAATGGACTGGAGGGTTGTTGGCGTCCAAGTATCCTAGATGCCATCTCCTGCTGTTGTGCCCTAGCCTAGATCAAGGCACTTATCTTGCCTAAATCTGCTCCAAGGGCGCTGCTGCTCTGTGGCTGGCTGACCTTGGCTTTCAACGTGTGTCTCAGGATGTTGGGTTAAAAGCAAAAGACAAATGATCAAAATCTACAAAGAAAAAGGACAAAGTATTTTCTTCTCCAGGTATATGATCTTCTGGGCATCTCTCAACCTGCTCACCTTTTCTGTCATGGTGGCTGTGTACGCACGCATCTATGTCTATGTGAGACGTAAGGGTAAACGGATGTCTCAGCACACCTCCCACCATCTGAGGCACAACGAGACTGTCGTCAACCTCATGAAGACTATCTCTATTGTACTGGGTGAGTGAGTGTGATCTGCAACTGGCCTGGAATGTACACTTCCAAGAGGATGTGATGCTAATGAAACTAATACTGTTTAACACTCGTGCCATTTTATCTTACTGTTTCTATTCTCAAATCATTTCCATTCCATGCACATCTCTACTTACAACTGACTCATTGCTAAAAGGTACCTAACCCTTTTCCAGATCTTTGCAACTCTCTAAAACATACATACTATTTTTAATGTAAGGTAGTGGTGAACATAATTGTTTGATTTCATTGACAAGTTAATGGCATGGTTATGGCACATCCTCATCTTTTCCTCCTTGGCTTCCCTCCTCTCCCTAGGTGTGTTTGTCATCTGTTGGACGCCGGGCCTGATGACCCTGTTGCTGGATGGGATCATGGGTAAAGACAGCCATGCCTTGACCTATGAGAAGTACTGTCTGATCCTGGCTGAGTGTAACTCCCTGGTTAACCCTATTATCTACTCCTTCCGGGACGAGGAGATGAGGAGGACCTTTAAGTGTATACTGTGCTGCCTGTGTAGGAGGAGCTCTGACCACCAGGGAGAGCAGTCACCCATGGAGTTCAACACACTGCAACCAGAGGTAGGTTACCACAGAAAGATTAAGGGTCAGCTCTTTCAACAAAAACAATATGCGATTCCTGGCATCCTATCTCCTTACCTCCTTCTCAACTGTATTGAAGGAGAAGGTCCATGGTCCCTCTCTTTTGACCTTCTTGTCTAATGGGTTTTGTGAACAAGGCGATAGGGTGCAAAGAATCAAGGAAAGATTGAGATAGAACCCCATTACGATGCTATAGGCTTTAACTTTTTATACGGTGTATGGGTTCTAATCATGCTTTTTGTTGTGTTCTCCGACAAATGTGTTATTCTTGCTTTTACTTCACAACGGGTTACCATTCTGGCTCACATGACACTTTTCCTCTTTTGTTTCTGGCCTTCAGTGTGTTTCACCTAGATTTTCATTTCTTACAATGATTCAAAAGCCGGTGCTTTATTTTTGCAACAACAAAAAAACAACTAGCGAGGGGTGACCGAGAATGTTTCTTTACCCCAAGCTGCTCTGGCTTGAACTTTGACTGGCGGCAAGTAGCCTGGCGGGTAGGAGCGTTTGGCCAGTAACCGAAGGGTTGCTGGATCGAATCCCTGAGCTGACAAGGTAAAAATCTGTCATTCTGCCCCTGAGCAAGGCAGTTAACCCACTGTTCCCCGGGCGCCGAAGACGTGGATGTCGATTAAGGCAGCCCTCCGCACCTCTCTGATTCAGAGGGGTTGGGTTAAATTCGGAAGACACATTTCAGTTTAATGCATTCAGTTGTACAACTGACTAGGTATCCCCTTTGACTGACTGACACATATTCCAACTCCTGACTAGGTACATTTCCTTTTTTTTTTTTTTATTCCAATGGAATATTCGATGGGAATATCTGCTTAGTTGGTGGATGTAGTGCTGTGCTTGTAACCGCTCTCTCTGCTTGGTGCTCTTCTGCAACTTTATCTCCACAAAAAAAAAATGGAATACCTTTCCTTTTCCTTAGGGAGAACAAACTTTAGACTGAGAGACTACATACAGCAAAACCATTGTGTATTTTTTTCTCCTGAATGCGTTGGTTTGGATTGTTTAAGACAAAATAGATTTTCTGTCTGCCATCATTACATGATTTCTGAAAGAAAACACATTTGAGAGCTTTGTATTCCAAATGTTTTGTTGTTGGTATAGACTAACAATAATTTTAATATAATGATGACGCTATAATTTCCTCCCTTATCTCGTGCCTCTTCATCTTTCACCTTGGCTTCTCCCTTTAGACTTTAACCTAACACTTGCCACTGTCACAGCGTGCCACTATCTTTGTGAGCAATTACTATTTATGATATTGAGCAGTATTGTGTGTCTGCCTCTACGCAGAGATACAGTGCCTTCAGAAAGTATCAACAAAATATATATACAGTATATATTATATATATCAAAAATGATTCATAACTCTTGACTTGTTCCACATTTTGTTGTGTTAAAGTCTGAATTCAAAATGTATTAAATGTTTTTTCTCACCCATCAACACACAATACCCCATAATGACAAAGTGAAAACATGTTTTTAGAAATTCCCCAAATCTAGATGTGCGAAGCTGATAGACGTACCAAAGACATCTCAAAGCTGCAATTGCCGCCAAAGGTGCTTCTACAAAGTTTTGACTTGGGGGTGTGAATACTTATGTAAATGAGATTTCATTTTCAATAAATTTGCTACAATATCTAAAAACATGTTTTCCCTTTGGGCCCGATTCCGACCAGAGTGAAGCTTGTAAATGGACTTGAAATGAATACGCACTTTTCTCTCTATGCGTATTCTGACCTTGAACTTAAGCATGGGAATAGTGTGCTATTCACCTGCTTTTTGTTTTGGGTGGAGATCAAATAAATGAAGATGTGGCGGAGGTGCGTCTACAGATACGCCGTATTCTGACCTTGACTTAATTCCACCACCTTTACTCGTGAGGAATCCATGAATAAGGTCTAGTGAACTGGTTTCAAGTAGAAAAAGCGTCTACTTCATTTTTCCCAATAGAAATAATACCATTCTCCATGCACTGTAATTTTTAACTTGATAAATAACTAGATACATTTATAACTAGATAAATTAGTATTCCTTTTTTAATAAGAGAATTGTAAATATAAATGACACTTGTTTTAGATATAGTTTACCTTATCGCTGGAGACATGAAACCAGTCATGGCAGCAAGCTGGAGTATATCAACTTTCCCACAGTAAAGTTGATGAAATACTGTGCCATTATGGCCTTTTAACTTGCAGGGATGGGCACTCTCGAATGTCTTGGTTATAGGCTACCCCGACTTTCGCGTACCTATTTCTATCATGTTAAATATTAACCACTACCAGTAGGCCTAATAACAACACATATTCAACGGTCAATTTACTGTTCGTACCCTTCAGTTGGTACAGCCTACATTATCATTCCATTTCATTACATTGTTTCATTTACTTTCCTCTGTAAATGCTGTCACGGCCATGTGGTTGTTGCTGAGGATCCTTAGTAACGGTTGATGATATATACACTGCTCAAAAAAATAAAGGGAACACTAAAATAACACATCCTAGATCTGAATGAATGAAATAATCTTTTTTCTTTACATAGTTGAATGTGCTGACAAGAAAATCACACAAAGATTATCAATGGAAATCAAACTTATCAACCCATGGAGGTCTGGATTTGGAGTCACCCTCAAAACTAAAGTGGAAAACCACACTACAGGCTGATCCAACTTTGAGGTAATGTCCTTAAAACAAGTCAAAATGAGGCTCAGTAGTGTGTGTGGCCTCCACGTGCCTGTATGACCTCCCTACAACGCCTGGGCATGCTCCTGATGAGGTGGCGGATGGTCTCCTGAGGGATCTCCTCCCAGACCTGGACTAAAGCATCCGCCAACTCCTGGACAGTCTGTGGTGCAACGTGGCGTTGGTGGATGGAGTGAGACATGATGTCCCAGATGTGCTCAATTGGATTCAGGTCTGGGGAATGGGCGGGCCAGTCCATAGCATCAATGCCTTCCTCTTGCAGGAACTGCTGACACACTCCAGCCACATGAGGTCTAGCATTGTCTTGCATTAGGAGGAACCCAGGGCCAACCGCACCAGCATATGGTCTCACAAGGGGTCTGAGGATCTCATCTCGGTACCTAATGGCAGTCAGGCTACCTCTGGCGAGCACATGGAGGGCTGTGCGGCCCCCCAAAGAAATGCCACCCCACACCATGACTGACCCACCGCCAAACCGGTCATGCTGGAGGATGTTGCAGGCAGCAGAACGTTCTCCACGGTGTCTCCAGACTCCAGACGGCCTCCTCCACGTCTCCTGATGTACCGGCCTGTCTCCTGGTAGCGCCTCCATGCTCTGGACACTACGCTGACAGACACAGCAAACCTTCTTGCCACAGCTCGCATTGATGTGCCATCCTGGATGAGCTGCACTACCTGAGCCACTTGTGTGGGTTGTAGACTCCATCTCATGCTACCACTAGAGTGAAAGCACCGCCAGCATTCAAAAGTGACCAAAACATCAGCCAGGAAGCTTAGGAACTGAGAAGTGGTCTGTGGTCACCACCTTTAAAACCAGTCCTTTATTGGGGGTGTCTTGCTAATTGCCTATAATTTCCACCTGTTTTCCATTTGCACAACAGCATGTGAAATTTGTCAATCAGTGTTTGCTTCCTAAGTGGACCGTTTGATTTCACAGAAGTGTGATTGACTTGGAGTTACATTGTGTTGTTTAAGTGTTCCCTTAATTTTTTTGAGCAGTGTATATTTTTAAAGACAGACTAATTCAATCGTTATGGAGTGGAGTGCAGACCAAGCCATAACAGTTTGAACCCGACGCATGGTGCTATAGACTACTAGGCCGTGTCATCACACAGTTCCATGATTAGTGCAGGCAATAGATGAGGGTATTACCCACTATTGTACACTAATCTCTCTATTATAATTCGATGTACACTAATCTTCCAACATTACCATGGGTTAAAGAACTTCATGTGGCAATTTTCAGAATGAATCAAACCACCTTTCTTTCTTTCGTGTGTAACGGCTCTCCAAACCAGTTTTTTGATTCATAAATGCTTTCCCAACCCTAAATAATAGTATTTTGAAATCGACCAATTGGTGCGGAAACAGAGCAATATGCACATACTGTATTTAGATGGGTTTCTTTCATTGATCCCTAATATTCTGAACCCGTTCTCTCGATATATTCTATTGAGTCTGTCGACAAAATTCGAACAAGATTGGTACAACATATTTAAAGGGATGGTATAAGATAAATCTACTGAAAACCCTATTGAATGAAATCGCCACAAGAAAATCTGTTGGCCAGCAAGTGGGAGGGTTTTCAGCAGTTAAATTATTTATTCAGCGCGCGCAAGGAAACCACGCCTGCAAAGCCCGTTACGCACCTTCATAAGGTAAGTCTGAGTACCGTGTAAGAAAGGCATAATTCCCTAAGTCGGAATCGGGCCCTTTGTAATTATGGGGTATCATGTGTAGATGGGTGACATTTTGGGGGGATTGAATTCAGGCTGTAACAACAAAATGTGGAATAAGTCAAGGAGTAAGAATACTTTCTGAAGGCATAGCGTACTATACGATTGATTGATATTGTTCAACAGTAAAGCTGATAGTGTGTCTGCTCCCCACAGGTAGATAATGGTTGTGAAGTAAAATCAGAGGATAAAGCCAACTTCACTGCCCTCCAGCTGATAAAGACAGAGTGGGGACAAGCCTCTTCACCCTGACAGCTGGATTAAATCAGGAGTCATAGAGACACCATGGACATAAGATCTACAGCCACTCATGAACTTGCTGAAGCGGTACAGATTGCACAGTAGAAATGTACAGGTAATTGCAGACTGACATAGTAAACTCTGCATGTGAATGCAGTCTCTGCTAACGCAGGGACATTGCCTTTAAATTTAAATGACACTTAAGCTGAACTTCCACGATACAGATTGAATAAAGCCCTTAGTGGGGTTGAAATAGGACAATGGACAAGCACTGGACAAGATGGTTATTAATGACACCATACTTACTTTCATGTGTACATTTTTGGATGCTTGTTTGTACGTGTACAGTAGGTTTTGTTTATCTAGATGTTACACTAGCTAACACTGGGATATTTAGGGAAAGACTACCTCCATGTGCCATAAGTCAATTCTGTGATGCATAAAGAGCCATTATAAAATATTGGCATGGGGATATAGGGATGCCTGGAATTTAAACTATCACGCTTTTACTATTTCCTTAAAATGAAACTATAGTTAAACTGCGTGATATTCGATCATGCGTGCGTACAGGTGGTCCCGGGAATCAAACCCACAATCCTGGCATTACAAGCAGCTCTACCTTTACCAATTTACGTTCTCCTGCAGGTCTTGTAGGCGGTTACAGGCTATTATACTTTGGGCTTAATTTGAGTGTTGAATACAGAATTAGGTAAAATACCATCAAATGGTGTCGGTATTTTATTTGTTTAAATGTCACAAGAGCATAGATGTAGTGACTAATCATAAAAATAAAACAACCAACCCCAAATAATGAAAAGCACAATTTTATTAGTTTTTTTCTTCTAATAAGGAACACTACAACTTGTCATTATTTTTACTCGTTCTAGAACAATTCTAAAGTTGAGGTATAAAAGGAATTCATACAGACTCACAGGTCTGGAAACAGTGGGGTTTTATATACAAGAGAAACTGAGACAGAGGTAGAGAGAGACGAGAGGGGTATTTAAAATACAGGGGGACGAAGAGGGAGCGATATACAAAGATACTAACAAAAGTGACACATTAAAGGGTTTAACGTATCGTTTGATTTGGTGCTGTGGAATTCTATGGCCGCAGGTAGAATCTTAAAATATTATAATTCTATGGTAGAATCAATCCTACAGTAGGTTGACTCAGTATTGGCTCAACCTGTATAGGAGTAGACTGCAGGATTTGGGGTTGGTAGCACCATCCTTGCATTGAACTGTACCGTTACTACAAAATACTGGGAGAATTCAAATTCACCAATGATAGGTAACCATATTAATGGCGTCAATCCAGACAAAATGGCTGAAATTGAATGGATAAGGGAAATCAAGCGATTTCTAAAATGTGCGAGAAATACGTTTTTCCCCCTGCTGTTGCGGTAAGGGCTGATTATATGCTAGCAAGATGGCCAACAATGGCTCTAGCATTAATTCAGGGATTATTGCTAGACTGCGGTTTCACAAATTCTAATTGGAATTCACACAGCACCAAACAAAACTATGCAAATAATATGCAAATAATCATTCAACTAACAAATGAACTTGACCCCAACCTCAGGAGAACACTAAAGACCAAACAACCAGGCAACTCACCCAAAAGGAAAAGCAAAAATAAAGCAGAGGGTTTATAAAAAGAGAAAAACAAACATTCCACAATCTGTACAGTGACATCCATTTACAACTGGTAGAAAAAGACAAAGGAAGAGGGGACTAATTTGGTGTAGTAGTGGTAGCATTATTTGTAAGATATAATAAGCCATATTAAATGTTTATAATATAAGTAACAGTAAACAAGGAAACTAATTTGGGTAATACAATAAGAGTTCTCTGTAACGATGTCTGTATTTAACACACCCCATTTCAAATGTCTGTATATCTGTTTAATATATACTTTGTCCTTTCTTTATCAAAATGCCCGGTACTCTTAACAGTTGATGTATGATTATAAAAAAAGAAAAGAAAGAGCTGAATAAAAACTACAAAGGAAATGAAATCTGAGTCAAATCAGAATTTCTCTAAAGACTACCTTGTTTATCGTAATAAAACCAGTGCTGCCTTTTTGGTAACAGTTATTAAGAACAGAGTAAAGCCCTTGCTGATTGGCCAAATCATAGAGCTAACCAATAGGACCCATTTTCACCAGCGGATTCTGAGATAGAGTAAAGGGAGAAAACAACATGCCATCCCATGGAACAGGTGCTCTCTATGGCAACGATGCTTTGTCTCCACGGCAACAATACAATCAATTCTTAAGCACTGGTTGACTGACATGACGGACATAACAGGCCACCCCCCACCCACCCACCAAATAACCCCAAACTAAAATGACATGAGGCCAGACAACACCATAAAAAGACAAATACAATTCCCTCTACCCCAAAACTGAATACTTTTTATTCACCAACTTTTTTGTGTGAAATATAATCATCGTAATTATATTATTGATAACTGGTATTTTTGGTACGATGCAAAGTTGTAGTGTGGCCTGTGAGCTAAACAGATTATGAGTAGATGCTAGTTGTCAAGCCCTGTCTGGACTGGAGATCCACCAGAGTCCTGCACAACGTAGCAAAACGGTTTGCAACCAAAAACACGTGTTCCTATTGGATACGTTCAGGTGGTAGCAGCAACCCGTATCACTCGGTGCCCTACTGAATAATACCCTGCTAGTGGGGAGGCCACAGTTGTTAAATATACCAAAGAAGAAATGATACAAAATGTAAAGGCTGAATGTACACTAGATGTACTAGATGTACGCTTTGTGACTACATGCACGTCGTACGCCCCAGGAAAGTTCTGCTCAAGAGACTGTTTGGTGGAGTATAAACCCAGGGTCCTATTCATTAGTGTACACCGTAAGTGAAACGTTTTGCAACAGCAAACGAAAACAAGCATTTCTTGTTGGACAAATTCAGGTAAGTCCCCTGTTTCAGCCAGTTTGGTTCCTAATGAATACGGCCCAGCCTTACCCCGTAAGACTGGGCCGTATTCATTAAGCCATCCCGATTGAGACATCTAAGAACTCTGTACATACAGCATAACGCATCTACTCCTTTTTGGTCTGTGTCTTTGAGAAAACAAAAGTGAAGAAGCTAAATAACTGGAATATTTAAATGAGAACCATCACTGAACACCTAAAAAGCCTACATGCATTGGAAGACGGTCACAATTATTTATAAACATTTTCATGTCACATTTCCCCCCCAATGACATAGCCATCTCTCTGCCACTAAACTAATTTCATTCCACCCATTTCACCGTCCCAACACCACTTTCAGGGTCTATCAAACCTTATTTGGTGGCTGGTGCATTTCTTTGTGAAACAGCATTAGAAAAAAAGGCTACAATCAACTAAAAGTAGTTGACAGACAGAGGAAAGTAACGTCTACAGCTTTTGATGACTAACCGAAGGGGGACGCAATAGAAACAACCTTTGGAGGACTAAAGAGGATCGCTCATTTCCCCTCTCCCTTCATCTTCAGTCCTGTCCTCAAGCCCACTGTACGCTCAACTCCCCAGAACTACTGTCACCAGGTAGATGCACCTGTAAAAAGGTGCAAAAGTTTGTGCTTGACAGATCTGTGTCCACGTTCCATACAAGGGGTTGTAAATCATATCTGCATATCTGACCTATAAACAATACTAAAAAATAGAAGAAACAACGGTGGTGTCTTTGTGATACTAGTTGCTGGGGGTTGGGGGGGGTAACAACTATCAGGTTGGGGGAGAGAGGAGAGAGGACATCACTTTGGTACAAGCAAGGTGAGCAGAGCTCATCTTGTGATCCGTATCGCCACAGTGCCTGGCGTTAGTGTGTGTGTGTGACCGCTATCACACACGTCAACACCAGAACCTCACAAGGGATAGGTAATGGACAGGCTGGGAACACTGTGTGGTGTTGACATGAGCATATACACAGGTAATGTACAGACATCATCACCTGCCCTACACAGCCAGGTTGGTTGGGTTAGTAGTTCCTCAAAAGGTCCTGGAGCTGGTGAGGGGTTATGATGTCATGATCAGGCGCCAGTCAGTCTCCTCTCCTCAAATTCGATATGAAGACAAAGGAGCCTCCAGAATTTCTGTAGAGTGGAAGGAAGGGAAATGTCTTCTGTTCAGTTGTCCATCTTAACGGTCCACAGAAGTGTGTGTGTGTGAGTTTGAGAGTGTGTGTACAGCGCCTGGCATGAGTTGCCCAGTCCGGACTGGTAGTGGAGAGGCAGGCAGGAAGGAGGATGGGGGTAGGTGGGTAGTGGTCAGAGCAGACCCCAAAAGAAAGAGAGGTCTCTGGGGTGGAGGAAGAGGAGAGGGGAGGGGGTCTCAGTTGGAGGTGTCAGATTGGACGCTGCCAGGGGGGCCTGGTGGAGAGGTGACGGAGGAGGGGTGAGTGGTGTCCTGCCAGCTGTTGCTAGTCTAGAAGGAGAGAACCAGGAGAGAAAAACAAAGATGTCAATTTGGGCAGCTAGTTTTGTTTCAATTTTTAATATAGGTGTGTTGTGACCCTTGTAAAATGCACTAAATACATTTGCCTGGACTACAAATACTTTGTTGGTAGGCATGCATTTCTTTCGGTCTAAATAAAAGAAGGGAGGCAATAAGGGAGGTTTGACTCACATGGAGGCGGTGTGGGGTGTAGAGGGCGCTAGCGGTCAACTCCTCATAGCCTGCCGTCAGGTGTGTAGCACGGTGCAGGGTATCCACCTGGAGGGAGACAAGACAGGCGCCATCAGCTACGAGATGCATGCACATACACACGCGCACACACACACACTTTCCTTGTTTTACTATCCTTGTGGGGAATTTAGGTCCCCACAAGGATAGAAGGACCAACACACAGAGACCTGGGTTCAAAAAGGATTTGTTTCCTTTCAAACACTTTGAGCCCGTTTGATTGAGCCTGCCTGCTTGGACTGCCAGATAGGCTTGGTTCCGTTGTGCCGAGCAAGCTCAATCAAGTGCAGCAAAAGTGTTAACATACTATTTGAACCCAGGTCTGGCACACACACGTAGTTGCGCATCAATCAGGGCGTAGTCTCACACAAACACAGGTGGTAATAAAAGGAACTGTAAAGCTTCCACAAACCTCTGCTGTATCTGGCAATGCAAAAGCAGCATGGCTCTTGGTTTGGACTGCTGGTTCCCTACTAGCTAACCTCTGCTCACTTCTCTGTACACTATCTGCCTCTCTGGTATCACAGTTCTAACATTAAAAGCCTACATCTATTGTTCCTGTATTATTTTTATTGTTCATCGCACAATTTGTTGTATTCTCAGTCATCACTGATTGAATGCAGAAACTGCTGCCTACCGTCCGGTTAGTCAGGGAGAATCTCAATTGCATTCGTGTCCTCTCTCCTCGCCTCCTTATCAAAACCTATTGGATGAGAAAGCCAGCGGTCCCTCCCCTCTGACAGTCTCCAATAGGTTTTGAGGATGCGAGGGGAGCGGACACAAGGAGTCAAGGAAATGCAACCGAGGGTTTTCCCCTCAGTCTCTCTGACACTGAGCGTCCAGGCTAGCCTCAGGCTATTTACAGCAGAAATCTGTGGATCCTCTTCAACAACACTGCACTTCCACAGGTTTACAAACAGCACAGTGATGAGGTGGAGGGCAACAACAGCAGAGTAATGAGGAGTAGAGGGGGGCCTTAGGCTTCCATGGTCACAGGATGGAGAGAGATGGCTGTGTGCGTCCCAAATGGCACCATATCCCTCAAAAGTAGTGCACTATGTAGGGAATAGGGTGCATTTGGAGAAGCAAACATGGACATATAGAGATAAAATGGATGGATAAATAACTGGGGGAGGGTGGTAGGGTAGGTACACCAAAGGCTTAACTGAAACACAAGGTTATGTGGAGGGGGCTGGAGAGAGGGGAGGAGGGCCAAAATGCACCATGAGGCGTGTTTCTCTGCTAAGTGGAACAGGGACAGGTGCCACAGGGCATCTTGGGGTGGGTGTTTATGGATCAGGGGTGATTCTAGGGCAGGGGTGGAGGAGGGGGTCATCATAACTAGTATGTGCTAGGAGGAGCTGGTGTCTAGGGATGTTTGGGTCACTGGTTTTGGGGTGGGAAAGTCCCGGAAACCTCCCCAAAATGCCCTGGATATTCAGAAATCTTGTTTGAATAAATTCCAGGTTGAAGGATTGCCTTAATTATTCCTTCCTGATTCCAGAAATTCTCCAACCAGGATTTCATGAAAACCAGGACATTTTGGGAACGTTACAGGAATTTTGCAACCCTATAGTGACTGGGTTGGGGTTGGAGGGGGTTGTGGTTGGGGCATTGAGGCAGGCTTTCCTAGAGGTCCTCAGTGCCTACCTGGGGCTGCAGAGAAGGGGCGATGTTGAGGACGGCCTCCCCGGCCCCGTTGAGGTTCGAGGGGCGCAGGCCGAGGTAGGCAACAGCTTCAGCGTCGCCTGCATGAGACAAGCTGTATGATCCCGACGACCCTGCAGGCAACACACGCTGTGTCAGCCAATCGGGTATCTCAGTGTGGCTCTGTCAGTCAGACACCTCTGTGTGGCTGTGTCAGCCAATCAGGCACCGCAGTGTGCCAGGGGTCAGAGATCACAGCTCAACCAGGAAGTTAAAGTACACTGGCTTTTGAAAAGAAACAGTCATACCCGCGCTCACAACCCGTTGGCTAGTGTTGAAAACATAAGGATCGTGGAGTATTTAGAAGTGGGTGAGCAATGAATTAGTCCCTCGTGACACAGCCTTCTGGGTGCCAAGATTATCCAATACATGTGCAGATGGATCCTCAATTTCCACCTTCCTCATGTTACATTTTACATTTTAGTCATTTTAGCAGACGCTCTTATCCAGAGCGACTTACATGAGTGCACACATTATTATTTTTTATTTATTTATTTTTTCATACTGGCCCCCCCGTGGGAATCGAACCCACAACCCTGGCGTTGCAAACGCCATGCTCTACCAACTGAGCTATATCCCTGCCGGCCATTTCCTCCCATACGACGCTGGGCCAATTGTGCGCCGCCCCATGGGTCTCCCGGTCGCGGCCGGCTACGACAGAGCCTGGATTCGAACCAGGATCTCTAGTGGCACAGCTAGCACTGCGATGCAGTGCCTTAGACCACTACGCCACAAGTGTCGCCACAACATGTTGTTGTGAATGACACTTAGGAAGTAAGAGGCTTGCACAAGAGAATATGAATGGCCAAACTATAGGCCAACTGCAACTTTCTCGTTGGAAACGGACCAAAATCAAGACGACACAAATATGTCTTACTACATGAAAAACACCGGTCAACGTTTTAGTTACACTGTAACAAGTGAACATCAAAGTGGAATTCAGAAATTTTTTGTTGGTTAAGTCTTGAGTCCTAGTACTGATGCTTGACAGTCCACCAGCGAGCTGTAATCTTACTGCAGGAGATGCAGACCATAGAAATATAATCCAGATAATAATAGGTTTTCTATGAGGCAGACATACAGTACGGCTCACAATGATTAAATGGTACATCACCTACCTGCTCCTGTCTGCTTCCTGAGCAAATAGGGGTAGCTGGTACATACGTGTGTGTGTGTGTGTGTATACTGTACACTAATGTATGTGTGTGTGTGTGTATACTGTACACTAATGTAAAGGTGTGAGTGTGTGTATACTGTACACTAATGTAAAGGTGTGAGTGTGTGTATACTGTCCACTAATGTAAAGGTGTGCTGGCCGCTACATAAAGAGACAGACAGCCAACAGGAGTGGGAGTTTGCAGTAGTGGTAGGCTAAATAAATAAGAAATGATGACATCAAAAGAGGAAGTGGTGAAATTGAACAGAAACCATTCAGAAAGAAAAGAAAATACATTGATTATTGAATTGAATTGGATTTATGTTGAGATGGGGGATAACGGTCATTTCCTACTAAGAGTTATTGCTTATGGCAATAGCCCAGCATCTATGATGCTGCTGAGTCAAGCTACATTTATCCCTGAAAATAACCACTTTCTACAACAATAAAGCAACTTTAAACAAGGAGATGATCAATCTGGTCCAAAATAAGATTTGGTCTAAAAAAACGCTCCTCTATAGAAAACCTGTGAGCGCAATAACATCACAGCAACGCATCACACACCAAACGAACAGAAGAACAAGTCCGATGGAGAGCCAGACAGACACAGACATTGTCCTCATTCTGTGTATGTGGTTCTACACTTCTGCCAGTGTGTATGAACTACAGTGTGTGTGTGTGTGTGTGTGTAATAGCATGGGCATCAGCTGATTGGTGTGACGAGGCAGGGTGATTGAGATATGGATGGAGGGGTGGGGTCAGGGGTGGTTGGTAGGGGCACACGGTACCTGATTTGGGCGTCGCCGGAGAGTTAGCCTGGCTAGCCTGCGCCGACACGCTGGCAGCATCCACCGCTGTTTTAACTGCGTAGAGGTTCGCTTCCTCCTGGAACTTACCAATGTTCTTCTTGTACCGTATTCTCTTGTTGCCGAACCAATTAGAAACCTGAGGGGGAGACGGACAGACACCAGTGTATTAGTCAGTGTTTCCCCTAGATTTCTTTCCAGGGTTGTATTCATCAGTGCACGCCGTAGCAAAAGGTTTCCCAACGGAAAACGAAAACAAGCGTTTCTTACTAGAAAACGTCAGGTAGTCCATCCCCGTTTCAGTACATTTTCAGTCACCTGACACTTTAAATTGAAACCAAATCAAGCAAAATTAGGCAGGGGAACAGACCCCCCACCTATACAAATCAAATCAAATTTTATTTGCCACATGCGCCGAATACAACAGGCAGTGCAAATAGTCCGGGTAGCCATGATTAGCTGTTCAGGAGTCTTATGGCTTGGGGGTAGAAGCTGTTTAGAAGCCTCTTGGACCTAGACTTGGCGCTCTGGTACCGCTTTCCGTGCTGTAGCAGAGAGAACAGTCTATGACTAGGGTGGCTGGAGTCTTTGACAATTTTTAGGGCCTTCCTCTGACACCGCCTGGTATAGAGGTCCTGGATGGCAGGAAAAGCTGGTTTCAGTATTGGTAAGTCCACTGGCAGAAGAAGTGTGTGGTGCAGTACGGTGCAGACTCAGTACCTGTGAGACGGTGATGGCACACTTCTTGGCCAGCTCTTCTTTGGCCTCCTCACTGGGGTAGGGGTTGGAGAGATGGGAGTAGAAGTACTCGTTCAGCACCTCTGTAGCCTGCTTGTTGAAGTTTCGCCTCTTACGCCTGACAGACAGACACACACAAAGTCAGTCACACGATATTCATCTCGGAAACAATTTTAAAAAGCACTGCAGATTACAAATTAAATGACTGCAAACACAAACACACAGACCTGGCGTCGAGGAATCTGGAGCGTAGGATCATGACGGCCTCGCAGGTGCTTTGTTTGAGCTGCATCTGGATGGAGCTGAACTTGCGGTGGATGATGGCCACCATGCGCTCGATCTCCTTGGGAGAGATGGGCCGCGTGCGACTCTGCTCCCTCAGCAGGTTCATCACGTGGTTGGTGAATTCACTGCATGCCTGGGGTCGGGAGGCGGAGGAAGAGAAGGAGGAGGATGAGGAAGATGGGACTATCAACACAAATTTGAAACTTAACTTCAGTTCCGTTATAAAAAAATAACATCTCAGGAAAACTCATCTTTGACGGTAAGAGAGAGAAATGTGTGTGTGCTTCACTGCTTCTCTCTCTCCTACCTGTTCGTATTTCTCCAGCTCAGAGTGGTAGATCTGTCTGATCTGGGCCAGCTTGGCTCTGTAGTCCGAGTGTTCGATGCCGCCGTCGGCGCCGGGCGACCCTCCTGCCGCTGCTGCAGGCTGCCGCCGCTGCAGCCGAGCCCCCGCCCTTCTCCGGGCCAGACACGCCCTCGGCCAGCAGCATGTTGTCCAGACGCATGATCTGGGGGTCTGGGGGGTCCTCATCCTGAATGCCTCGGATACTCAGCACTGGAGAGGAGGCGAAAAGAGAGAGAATCAATATATCAATCAATCAGGCATTAAGGATAAGGGAACACCATGTCTCAATTGCAACGTCAGCCTCATTCAGATTCACCCCTTTATCCTAGACACTTAACTTGACGTAGATCTGAAGGAGTTGGATAGGTGTAGGCAATAGGGTCGTAACACCCTCAGAGAGGCCCGGTAGAATGTTTGCCATACTGCTTAGGCTACAGGCTTCTCCTATCCGATTTCCTTCAGATCTTTAGAAGTGCCTCGGCTAGGGGTTGTTTCTGGACTGGGGCCTTAGTTTTGAATTTGAATGTACTGAGAAAAAAGTATGATTATTCAGAGTTCCAGCGGGTGCAAGGGAAGGGAGGACAGTAGGACACTTGATCAATGCTAAAACCTCAAGGAGAAGTGCCGAGCTGTCAAAACAACCCTGCCGACTCTCTCCCCTGAGTCACCTGGCGATGAGTTCCAAAAGGCACCCTAAAAGTAGCGCACTATAAAGGGGATAGGGTGCCATTTGGGACTTCACTGAATTCTTCAGTGAATTCTAAATTAGCAGTACCCTATTCCAACACCAGGAGGCAGTGTGGTACCTCGGTCGGTGGCAGGCTGCCAGTACAGAGCAGAGAGAGGCAGGCAGCAGCAACATGAGGCATGGGCAGAGTAATGGGAGTGCATGTGCTGTCACTACAAGCTCGGCTGGCCGTAAGTACAGCTTTCAGCCGCTCCACTATTCCACTGTATTAAACACAGGACCTCTGTCAGCCCCCAGCCATGCACTCATCTCTCTCTCTCTCTCACAGATAGACACCCACACACAGGAAGCACAAATGCACATACGGAGGAACACAGTACTCACAGGTGCAAAACACACACAGGTGCAAACAGACGTGCACACACACTCCTCTCAATGCACACAGACTCCTATAGACAAACACACACTTTTGACTCACAGCCTTTGTTTTAAACACTATCATGCCATACTGTACATTGTCCTTTCAAGCAACTATGGTAGATGTGCAACCTAACCAGGCTAGCACAGTACATCTTGGCTCGGTTTGGCTCAGTAGAGTGAAAGGGGTATAGGAGACGTGTAGCCAAGACCAAGTGTTGGTCCCATGTTTCATGAGCTGAAATAAAAGATCCCAGCTTATTTCTCTCAACCGTTGTGCAGAAATGTGTTTACATGCCTTTTAGTGAGCATTTCTCCTTTGCCAAGATAATCTATCCACCTGACAGGTGTGGCATATCAAGAAACTGATTAAACAGCATGATCATTACCACAGGTGCACCTTGTGCTGGGGACAATAAAAGGCAACTTTAAAATGTGCAGTTTTGTCACACAATACAATGCCACAGAGGTTTCATGTTGAGGGAGCATGCAATTGGCATGCTAACTGCAGGAATGTCCACCAGAGCTGTTGCCAGAGAATTGAATGTTCATTTCTCTACCATAAGCCGCATTCAATGTTGTTTTGTCCCGTGTAGCTCAGTTGGTAGAGTAGGGCGCTTGCAACGCCAGGGTTGTGTGTTCGATTCCCATGGGGGGGCCAGTATGAAAAAAATGTATGCACTCACTAACTGCTAAAATGACTCAAATGTAAAATGTAGATAATTTGGTAGTACATCCAACCGGCCTCACAACCGCAGACCACGTGTAACCACACCAGCCCAGGACCTCCACATCCGGCTTCTTCACCTGCAGGATAATCTGAGACCAGCCACCCGGACAGCTGATGAAACGGAGGAGTATTTCTGTCTGTAATAAAGCCCTTTTGTGGGGAAAAACTAAATTGGTCTGGCTGGGACTTGGCTCCCCAGTGGGTGGGCCTATGCCCTCCCAGGCCCATCCATGGCTGCACCCCTGCCCATTCTTGTAAAATCCATAGATTATGGCCTAATGAATTTATTTCAATTGACTGATTTCCTTATATGAACTGTAAGTCAGTAAAATCGTTGAAATTGTTGCGTTTATATATTTGTTCAGTATATAATGTGTGTGTATGTCGAAGGTGTTGGGTACAGGAGGAGACATTTCCCTCTTGCATGGATTAATAAAGTATTTTTTGTTAAAGCCATAACTAGCAGATGTCAAAGCCCTGTTCTGTTCAGCTTACAGTTCTGGAACAGAGGTAAAACAGGAGATAATTATATTTCTACCTGCTTTGTTCCTCTCTGGGTTAACACAGACATGGGAGAGAGTTATTCTGAACAGTAAATGCAATCTGGGATATTTCCTGCAGTTCAATGTTAATGATATAGGCCTATCCATTGATTCTTGAAAAGTTTACACAACCAACCGGCAGGGCTGTTGTTGGACTAGAACACAAACTCTGGATTGTGGCTTTAACATGTAGTTACTGGACACTTGAGATTCCAGGATGTTTCCACAATAAAGTCAGTATCCTTCCTGTTAGTGTACTATTTTAAAGTGCATCCTAACAATTCTGCCCACTCTCTCCCCCTCCGTCCCCACATCCCCTAAACAATGGTCTCTCTTCTCTTAACTTCTATCCAACTTTCCCTCCTTTTCTAAACTTTTTTCTCCCCAGCTGTTGCCCTCTTGTTCCCTCTTGCTTTCTCCACTTAGATCCTCTCTCTTTCTCTCCGTTCTCTCAGACACTTTCCTTCTCTCTGTTGCTCCCCCTCTCATCCCTGCTCACTGCTCAGGAATGCAGCAGACCCAGCCGACTGAACTAACGACCCCGATTGGCCCATCCCTCTCTCCACTCACAAAGCTATACTTTAGTACTTCTAGGCTAGGCAGAGAGAAAGTGCTTTTACGACGTGTATGCAAACGATGCACCTACTTGCTACGTTTTATAGAGTTTGGTGTGTGCTTGTCTGAGTAGATGGTGTTTTAATAGTGTTAGAGAATTAGCCTATCCTGTGTGTCTGTGCTCTCCAGTAAGTTTGTAGCTTCCAGAGTGTGTGTGTGTTGGTGCGTGTGTGTAGAAGTAAGTGTGAGCTGTCCTGTTCCAGACTAACCATTTCCAGATCCAGCAGAGGCAGCAGACAGTGCAATACACTAGAGGCACAGAATATTCATCAGACATCGGCTCAAAACTTGAAATAGTATTTGTTACCTACCAAATACTTTAGCTGCGCTTGATTGAGCTTGTCTAGACCAACAACGTCAATGGAATAGTCCCAAAAGTACAAACCCCACCCATCTAGCACTCCAGGCTATTTCCTTTTGGTCAGTTGTTGTGATACATGTATGCAGTGGTCATAGAAGGAGTAGCCAACTGACCTACAGCCCAAGAGGTCAACCATGCCTCTACGGGTCTTTCCCCTCCATCCTGCCCCACCTCTCTTGCTGACACACCCCCTCCTAACCTCCCGCCAGTCCTCATTATTACAGCCCCCAGCTGTTGCCCCTAATGACCGCAGATTCCACTAATTACTCCAATTATTAAGCTATGATTTCTGACAACCACACACACGTCTATTAGGGCTTATGCACTCAGTACTGAGCAGTCGTAATGCATTTTCCAATAAAGCAATAGGGAACTGGTGTTTGCGGTCACAATACAATTATTCAGTAAAAACCACACAATAGCACCCTAGGGTTAGGTAGGTTGTGTGGCATTGAGAAAGGCAGCGAGAGGAGAGAAGAAGAGGGGAGGAGAGCTACAGTCATACTATGAAATATTCAGGCTCTCCAGCTGGGGTTTCCACTGCATACATAATCCTGAAACTCATTTCTGCCTCACAGCCAATATCGCTATGCTGTGTAGTAGACACACCTCATTTCTGCACACAGGCTATATCCCAATTGTGCGTTGTAGGCCTAGTTGGTAGAGCAGGTTGGTAGGTCCCTCAAACTCAACTCTGGACATCAAAGCCAGTTCCACTGCATTTTTTCATTGTTCCTCTCTAATGAGAGACTGATTTAGACCAGGGACACCAGGTGTGTGTATTTAATTATCAGGTAGAACAAAAAACCTTGTAGGGTAAGAGTTGAGTACCCCTGCCTAGGCCTACATGTGTGGCAGGGTGAGGTTGACGCCTACCCTTACAGAGCAGCAGTGTCTTCAGTACATTATGGGGAGATGCATGTACCCCGAACACATTCACGCCATCATCCATCCCTCAGCTCATGGCACACACACACTTTTTTACCCCTTGTCTGTCTCTCTTCTCTCGCTCTGTCCTGCATCCCCTTTTCACTCTGACCCCCCCCCCCCCCCCCCCCCGTTCTCCATTTCAGTCGAGATCTCCATGTGAGCTGCAATCCCTCATTCTGTCAGCCCCCCACCTCTCCTCCTCCTCCTCCTCCTCTCCTTCCTCCCTCCCCTCCTCCTCTCCCTGTAGACAGACAGGATTAGCATTTTAATTGCATCAGCCCCCTTGGGTATTCTCAGCCTTTCACTGGGGGAGAGAACGAGGGAGAGAGAGGGGAAGAGGGAAAAAAGGTAAGGAGAGGGAGGGTAGCCTAGAAGGAGAACCAAGGAGAATTGGAAAAAACAAGGGAGTCATAGGTGACATAAAAGCAGAGAGAGAGAGGCAGAGGAATAAATAAAATGGCAAGAGGGAACAGCAGAATGATAGGAATGAAAACGCTTCAGAAATGCTCCTACTACTATACTATACTATACCATACCTGGCCATAAATAAATATAGAAGAAAATAATGGTTGAACAGAAAGGAGGTTCCAAGCTACACATAACCTTTACACAAGAAGGAACTACATACGAGTCAAGGCTTGACATTCAGGCGAATTCGCTGCCAGTACCAAGTGAAAGTCACTGGCCCAAATGAAATAATTACTCTCAATGCCAACTCACAGAGAAGAGAAGGATGTGCAGTAAACTATTTGTGAAATAAATTCACTATCAGCAAAGTTCCCAGTCTATGACATGGTTGATGATATAAAATATCACATTTATAAAACAAAATATCAAATATTTTCAACCTAGGTCTATGATACCCATAGAATTCTATAATGAGTACTCTGTAATTCGAAATTTGATGATGAAAGCAGCCTAGTGAGCGTTCTGTTGCATCAGAAAGGAGGAGTGTAAAGTGACTCTGGGCCTGGGGAGGAAACTGAAGACTGTTACTGAACCCACAGGTTGAATTAGGATCCCCATGCTACAGCGGGAGTCGTCTGAGTGCAGTCTGGAGTACTAGTACTACTCCAGGGGTATCCTCTTCCATTTTCCCTCCTCCATTTGGTACAAATTGTAACATAGCCCTGGTGTAACAGAGGTGGTGAACCACGCTCAGATGATGACTAACCTTGCCTGTGACCTGAAGACATCAACGCTTTAGCTCAACAGGCTAACACAGTCTTGAGACCCAGGTTCGAAACCCAGTCGGTCACGTGCACTGGCAAACAAGTACAACTGTACAAAAGGTGATGCTAGTGGTTCACAAGTAAGTAGGGAAGTGAAGGCATCATAACATCTTTAGCTACACAAGTTGCCAATTTGGACTCTACATTCACTCCAACAAACAGGCCTATTTTGGGGCAAAAGGAGTGGCTAATAAGTCTGGCTGCACATCTGACTGGTTGACTTACTGCAAATTGAGAAATTATGTGACTAAACTCAACAAAAAGAAGAAGAAACTGTATTATGAAGCCAAGCTCAATGATCTAAAGAATGATGGAAAAAACCTTTGGAGTACTTTAAATGACATTATGGGCAGAAAGACAAATTCAACTCCATCTTTCATCACAAAACCATTTGATGTTGCCAATTATTTGAATGATTACTTCATTGGAAAAGTGGGCAAACCTAGGCAGGAAATGCCATTATCGATCAATAATGACAAACCTCCTGGCATTGACAACTTAGATGGCAAGCTACTGAGGATGGTAGCTGACTATAGCCACTCCTATCTGTCATATCTTTAATCTGAGCCTAGAGGAAAGTCTTCGTCCTCAGGCCTGGAGGGAAGCCAAAGTAATTCCGCTAAAGCGGCCTTTACTGGTTTTAACAGCAGACCTATAAGCTTGCTGCCAGCTCTTAGCAAACTGTTGGAAAAAATGGTGTTTGACCAAATACAATGCTATTTCTCTGTAAACAAATTAACAACAGACTTTCAGCATGCTTATAGGGAAGGGCACTCAACATGTAGTGCACTGACACAAATGACTGATGATTGGTTGAAAGAAATTGATAATAAGAAGATTGTGGGAGCTGTACTGTTAGATTTCAGTGCAGCCTTTGATATTATTGACCATAACTTGTTGTTGAAAAAACATGTGTTATGGCTTTTCAACCTCTGCCATATTGTGGATTCAGAGCTATCTATCTAATAGAACTCAGAGGGTTTTCTTTAATGGAAGCTTCTCTAATGTGAAACATGTAAAGTGTGGTGTACCACAGGGCAGCTCTCCAGGCCCTCTACTCTTTTCTATTTTTACCAATGACCTGCCACTGGAATTAAACAACGCATGTGTGTCCATGTATGCTGATGATTCAACCATATACGCATCAGCAACCACAGCTAATGAAGTCACTGAAACCCTTAACAAAGAGTTGCAGTCTGTTTTGGAATGGATGGCCACTAATAAACTGGTCCTAAACAGCTCTAAAACTAAGAGCATTGTTTTTGGTACAAATCATTCCCTAAGTTCTAGACCTCAGCTGAATCTGGTAATGAATGGTGTGGCTATTGAACAAGTTGAGGAAACTAAATTACTTGGCGTTACCTTAGATTGTAAACTATCATGTTCAAAACATATCTGTAGCTCAGCTGGTAGAGCACGGCGCTTGTAACGCCAAGGTAGTGGGTTCGATCCCCGGGACCACCCATACACAAAAATGTATGCACGCATGACTAAGTCGCTTTGGATAAAAGCGTCTGCTAAATGGCATATTATTATTATTATTATTATTATTATTCAATGGTTGTAAAGGATGGGGAGAGGTATGTCTGTAAAATAAAGAGACGCTCTGCTTTTTTGACACCAAACTCCAAAAAGCAAGTTCTGCAGGCTCTAGTTTTGTCTACCGGGGCGGCAGGTAGCTTAGTGGGTAAGAGCTTTGTGCCAGTATCCGAAAGGTCGCTGGTTCTAATCCCTGAGCCGACTAGGTGAAAAATCTGTCGATGTGCCCTTAAGCAAGGCACTTAACCCTAACTGCTCATGTAAGTCGCTCTGGATAAGAGCGTCTGCTAAATGACTAAAATGTCAAATGTAAATGTCTAATCTTGATGATTGTACAGTCGTGTGGTCCAGTGCTGCAAGGAAAGACCTAGTTAAGCTGCAGCTGGCCCAAAACAGAGCGACACGTCTTGCTCTTCATTGTAATCAGAGGGCTGATATAAATACAATGCATGCCAGTCCCTCTTGGCTAAGAGTTGAGGAGAGACTGTTTCTTATAAAAAGAAGTGATGCAATGTGTTGAAAATACCAAATTGTTTGCATAGTCAACTTACACACAGCTCTGACACACACTTACCCCACCAGACATGCCACCAGGGGTCTTTTCACAGTTCCCAAATCCAGAACAAATTCAAGAAAGCATACAGTATTATAGAGCCATTATTGCATGGAACTCCGTTCCATCGCATATTGCTCAAATAAACAGCAAACCTGGTTTCAAAAAACAGATAAAGCAACACCTCACAGCACAACGCCTCTCCCCTAATTGACCTAGACAGTTTGTGTGTATGTATTGATATGTAGGCTGTGTGTGCCTTTAAAAATGATTTATGTAGTTCTGTCCTTGAGCTGTTCTTGTCTATTAATGTTTATGTCATGTTTCATGTTTTGTGTGGACCCCAGGAAGAGTAGCAGCTGATTTTGCAACAGCTAATGGGGATCCTAATAAAATACCAAAATTCAACTGCACATTTTAGTTTTGGGTGGATCTCCTTAGTCTATTGAGTGGTACTTTTTAGAGAGTGGCAGTATTATGCTGTGGATGTGTCAGATCCTGCTTTAAGCAGCACAGGCTAAGCAGCTTCTGCGGTTGTGTTGGTCCTCTTTACTTTAGGTACACACACGAATGCACACAGGGACACACAAAAATGGGCAGATACACATCACACATGCAAAAACAAACAAACGGTCACACAAATGGTCAGTGTGCTTCCTTCCTGAGTGAGGGAGTGGTGAGCGGTCAGTGTCAACACGGTGTGATGAGGGGTGTGAATGGGAGATGTCCCACCCTGGGCAAACACACAATTAAGCATGAATCAACCCTTCATTAACTAGAGACGACAACTATGGAGACCAGAGCAAATCAGGGACAAAAGGCTTCAATCAGGTCTACGCCTATATGGTTCAACACACACCTGTTCTCAGGTGCTCTATATGAGCCTATACCGTCCAACACATTCATAATAAGCATCCACTGGACGAGTGGATGGTAGAGATAGAGGAGCAGCAGGCATGAGATGAAGTGAGGAGGAGTGAGAGGCAGGAGGGTAGTTAGGTAGAGGGTACATGTATCCCTTAAAGTGGCAGTTGTCCCTTTATCCCTCCTTCCTGCCTTAACTCTCTCCTAGTGCTGTCATGATAGCAGAATTCTTATCACGATACTCAATACAAAAACGATACCACGCCAAAAAAAAGCTTATTCGCCAAAATCACAGAATGGCACTTGATCCAGACAGAAACTCAGCTACTGCTCTGTTCAATCGTTGCACATCTTTTGAGTTCAATAACATTGCATTTAAATTTTGATGTCAACATTTTTCAGAGACAGCCAAGTATGTATTCATGAATAAACTATACAATTACTTTGTTTTTACCAATCTAACTACATAACAGTAACAATTTATTTGAATGGTAAATCACTATTGATGAACTGGGTAAATCAAGACGTAGCCTAGGCAGCCAATTCACAATAAAGGTGAATGCATATTCAATAGGATTGTGTGCATGCATTGAGTTGAGCTTGTTTTCACAGATTTCATGTGACTATAGATTTCAAACAATCTGCTTCCCTTCCATGTGGGACTTATTTTATTGTACTGATCAACAACATTTGCATAGAAGTAGCAATCTCTTCTTTTATAAAAGTTTGCACTGTCTCTTTAAACCCAGTAATGATGTCATTCATGACGAGTCACACGCCCACACAGTCAGTTGAGGTCTTGAGGAAGAGACATGACAGGCGAAGGGGGAAAGTATCTTTGGACATCATTGAGAGACAATTAAGTGAATTAAAGTTTCGGTGACAATCAGCATATTTTGCGTTATGTTTGTATATTATCACCAACAAAGTACTAGGGTAGTGAATTCATGTTAGCTTTATCTGTAAACTAGCAAGGAATGTTATCCTACAAAGCTGGAAGCTACCAGTATCTTCTTGCATTAGAAAGTGTTCTAGCATGTATGGACATTGTTTTGCAAACAGTAATTAACCGTTTCAAAATGTCTACATGCTCTGTTGCATAATTCAAGTGTGTTAACTTCTGTGCTGCATGAGTGGGGAGCTAACATGTTGCAGTCCAGACTCCCAGTGATCTAGCGAATGAGTAAGTAGAGCAGGCAAGAGGCAGGAATGGTGCGCTCGCGCTACAAGGAAGCAACGGCTGAGCTGATAAGACAGACTTGATCCTCTCAATCAGTATGTGTGTGAGACACATTTGACAGAAGTAACAAAAGTAACAAATTCTAGTATTGAACCATTTTTCATGTTCTAGTATCAAAAAAGTATGACCTTTCAGTATACCGTACAACACATCTCTCCCTTTCCCCCTCTGCCTTCATCCTTCCTTCTCCATGTCTTCCAACTCTCTCTATCCTTCTCCCTCTCAAATCAAATGTCACATGTGCCTCATACAACAGACCCTTAAAAATAAAAAATACGTTGTTGGTTAAGTCATACACATATATATATATATATATATAAATAACTTAACCAACATATTTGTTTGTATATCATAAAAAGTTACACTAAAATAACAATAACAAGGCTATATAAAAAGGGGTACTGGTTAGTGGAGGTAATATGTACATGTAGGCTCCCAGTCTTCCCTCTCTCCTTCTCCTTTCCTTCTCTCATCAGCCCAGCTGCCTGCTCTCCCGTGCTCGTTAGCGTCGCCTCTTAAGGAGCTCCTAAAGACTTTGAAAAATGAACGCTCATTTGAGAGGTTGTCAATTTGCACTGTTATGCAAATGTGGTGGCAATTAAGCAATAGATCAGAGGAGCAGCGGCCATTCATAACGAACCAACGAGCACCATGACAGAGTCAGATGTTACCCGGGAGAGAGCTGGAGAAGCTAAGCCTGCATGGTGGTTGTCTGTCTGATTACACTAGCACTAACTCTGTTTAATCACACACACAGATTCAGTGGTTATATTACATAGTATTATAGCACAGATCTAGGGTACTGGTAAGTAGGTACTACAATGTACTATATGTTTAAGCAATCTCTAATTAGTTAAGCTACTCACAAACATAGCCTGCTTGAAACAAACTATACAGCCTGTAGAGCTGTAGGTTCCCCAAGTGGTTTTATTTGGCCCTCCAAGTTATCTGCGCAAAAAAAGATTTGATGAATTTTCATTGTTGGACAAAAATAATGTAAAAACACCAGGAAATCAGCTCCAAGCGATTTTAATTTTGGAAATCTGTTCCTAAGTACCCCCATGCATAATAGAGAGACACATGATCGTATACAAAATGTAAGCATTACAAATTATGTTTTAGTCCAATTATATCTGTTTGGGCTTCTTGCGGTCAATTTGCAGTCTACAAATGATTGGTAATTATGTTCCCGGCCTCCCGACCATCCGCTCAGTGAAAAAATAATTGGCCCGTGGCTGAATCTAGTTGATGATCCCTGCTGCAGAACGAGTTTTGTTTATGGGCATTCTTGTATGAGTGTTGTGTTTACACCTTTGTGGGAGACTGCCAGATTAGCGTAGATTAACCAAGAGGCTGTATCCAACGCCTAAATCCAAGGTGTCACCAATCTAAACTTCCTCTCTGGAGAACACAGCAGATCCACAGGCTTACCAGGAGAAGGGGTCCTTAATACCGCCAATAACACACAACACACTGCCTAATGCTCGGCAGTCTCCGTGGCACACACACACACACACACAAAGGAAGGCGCAAGCCACAAAGTATGCCAGTGTGTGGTCTATTAAGACATGTTGCTATGAGTTAAAGATAATTATATTAAGTGAGTGATGGCCTTTTTTCAGTTTTTATGTCTGTAACAGGGCCCATAGGGGCTCTGATCAAAAGTAGTGTACTCTAAAAGGAATGGGGTGCCATTTTGGACACGAAATACACAAAACATACTGTCTGGGACTCCGGTTGGTGTGGAGGAGTTCTACAAGCTCTTAGCCTGGTCCCAGATCTGTTTGTGTCATCTTGCCAACTATTTTTATTTTTATTTATTATTTATTTTTATTTTTAGTCATTTAGCAGACGCTCTTATCCAGAGCGACTTACAGGAGCAATTAGGGTTAAGTGCCTTGCTCAAGGGCACATCGACAGATTTTTTCACCTAGTCGGCTCGGGGATTAGAACCAGCGACCTTTCGGTTACTGGCACAACGCTCTTACCCACTAAGCTACCTGCCGCCAACTCCTATGGTCATTGTCTGCAAGACAGCACCAATATATCTGGGACCAGGCTAGAAGGTTCCCTCCCATCAATTGTAATTCATCCTTAATTAGTGGTGATTAGGGCACTGGGAGCTCTGACAATCCAACCGCCCCGCCACTGCCACCATTAATGCAATCCAGCTGAGGCCACATTTACATGTCTTTAATTAAGAGGACTGACAGTGGCTGCCTTTACAACAAGCTCCCCACTGACCGGGAGAGAGGGAGAGGAGAGACAAGCTGAGGAGTATTGGTTAAGAGCACTGGAACACAGGCATGGCTCCCCATGTAGGATAGATCCGACCTCATGGACTGTCATCCCTTGCATATATGAATTTGAGAGTAGATAGGCCTACATTTCTCCAGCGGTATCACTCAGCTTTATAGCAAACCAAGTGGCGGGCTGCCTCGTGTTTCAAATTGAGGAGAAGGCCTTTAAAGCATGAAACACACAGAGAATCTCACTGCCAATAAACTGCTGATAGGTACTTTCTTGTTTTTGCTAGAACAATAGCGGTACCTGCTTCGTGCTGATCCGGTAGCGACGAACCTACCGATTCTACTTGTAGAATCATAATGCTCAGCAGTGGCCAACAACTTGACTTTGGGCCAATCCAAGAGCACAAACCCCCACATGGGGAGACAAAAAAAAGAGGGCATTTTCTCTGTGCATCCATGATGTGCCAGTCACACATCATTTGCAAAGTAGGCTATGGGATGGTAGCTAGCTAAGTGCACAGACGTAATGCACACAACACTAAATACTTCCTCCAAACTAGCTAACCACTGTAGCTAGTAGTGACATAATTAAATCACAACAGATTAGCTAGTTTCCATGTAACAGCTGCCTGTGTTAGCTGCCGAGTTAGTGCAGTGTCCTTAGCTAGCTATGTTGTGCTAGCTAGTGAATATGCTAACGTTAGCTAGCTAGCTAAACATTTGGCTATGGGCTGGCACTGGCAGTATGGAGAGTGAATTAAATTGTTTCTTCGTCATCTTGCTAGGTAATTATCTAGCTGTGGCCATCTGGCTAGTATCAAGAAGGGCTTTCTACCCAATAGCAACATTAGCGTAGATAGCTTGGAATCTATACCATAAACAATACGCACGGATATGCATTAATATACAACGCAACTGCCACCTTCTGGTTTGGAGTACTTTAACAAGGCTGGGTGGCTGAGGACTTCAAGGTCTTTGCTGTGTGAACACGAAAGAGATTGACTGCCGACACTGTTTCGAGGTGCCAAGTACTGTCGGCAGGCAAACGTTTGACAATGCTACCGGTACGTCAGAGCTTTAAAAACGTCCAATGCAGCATTTATCTCAATCAAATAATTTCTGGGTAACAATTAAATACCTTACTTTGATTGTTTTCAATTAAAATTGTAAAAAAGAAACAGAAATAGCTTCTTAGCAAAGAGCAATTTCTCAAGCAAGAATTTTGTTAGGACTGTCTGGGAGTGGTCTGAGTGGGGGAGGGGAAAACTGAAAATTAGCTGTTATTGGCAGAGAGGTGATGTCACAAGGCAGGCCAAAACTCCATCCCACCAAAACAGCCTGAAATTTCAGGTGGTCTTTTCAAATAGCTCTTACACTCAAAGGGCATTACCATTTTCACAATAAGGCTGTGACGGTAATTTAATAACTGTGTAACTGACGGTTATGGATGAAGAGTCATGAAAATAAAATAACTGTCAAAACAGTTTAAAATAGACCTACATTCATTTTAGGATTTTTCTCATGTTTGAACTTTATTTTCATGTAAACTTTACCTAATAGCGGGAGTGTTTACTAATGATTATAAGCAATTGTTTTGCTAACTTAGTGTGTCTATTAAACGTTCTACATCTCCTCTTTCCAACTGTCCTTAGATGCTCGAGCAGCTAATCTGCTAGATGTGCAGGGTTGTAGAGTGCTATAGTCCAAGGCACTTCAGTCAAAAATATTTTGATGTGTGGACTTTCTTTTATAAAATGCACGTTTTCATTGTTCGCTAGTAAATAAATAAAAGCGGTCTTTTAAAAAAGGTTGGATGTGTGATTATTCAACAGCAGTAGACAAGGTTGTTCTGGCTCTGAGGCCTATAATGTGTCAAATGGACAATGCGCCAATGCTCTCCAACCTGGTATAATTTGATACGAAATCTTTTCTTAATTTAGTCTAATCAACGCTGATCAGGCCCGGTCCTGGTCGATATGCCGCACTAGGCAAGACCCAAAATAGTTTCGACTTACCAGGTGAAAGCTATGATCCTTTATTGATGTCACTTGTTAAATGCACTTCAAATCAGAGTAGATGAAGGGGAGGAGACAGGTTAAAGAAGGATTTTTAAGCCTTGAGACAATTGAAGACATGGATTGTGTGCCATTCAGAGGGTGAATGGGCAAGACAAAAAATGTAAGTGCCTTTGAACGGGGTATGGTAGTATGTGCCAGGCGCACCGGTTTGGGTCAAGAACTGCAATGCTGCTGGGTTTTTATGCTCAACAGTTTCCCGTGTGTATCAAGAAATGGTCCATCACCCAAAGGACATCCAACCAACTTGACAACTGTGGGAAGCATTGGAGTCAACATGGGCCAGCATCACTGTGGAATGCTTTCGACACCTTGTAGAGTCCATGCCCCAACGAATTGAGGCTGTTCTGAGGGCAAAAGTGGGGGGTGCAACTCAATATTAATAAGGTGTTCCTAATGTTTGGTATACTCAGTGTATATAAAAACAGGAAAAATCACATTTGACTGCACTGGGCCTTTAATGACCGACAGCAGTAGAGTCCAATCCAAAGCCCTCACAAATCTGACTCCCGTTTGATTTAATAGGCTGACTGTGTCCGTGAAGCAGCTCCATGCTCATTGTAAAGCAACTGCAGCAACACGTTGGCTCCATCCCAAATGGCACCTTATTTCCTATATACAGTGTATACGGTAAGTATTCAGACCCCTTGACCTCTTCCACATTTTGTTACGTTACAGCCTTATTCTAAAATGGATTAAATAGATTATTTTTCCAGATCAATCTACACACAATACACCATAAATGACAAAGCAAAAAAAGATGTAAAAATATAAAAAAATAGCTAATGTATTACAAATAAAACACTGAAAGATAACTTTTACATAAGTATTCAGACCCTTTACTCAGTACTTTGTTGAAGCACCTTTGGCAGCGATTACAGCCTCAAGTATGATGCTACAAGCTTGGCACACCTGTATTTGGGGAGTTTCTCCCATTCTCTGCAGATCCTCTCAAGCTCTGTCAGGGATTGTGCCAGTTGGAATCTAGACGTGACCCTTGGCATTCAGGCCAGAGTTAAATCTTGGTTTCATCAGACCAGATAATCTTGTTTCTCATGGTCTGAGAGTCCTTTAGGTGCCTTTTGCCAAACTCCAAGCGGGCTGTCATGTGCCTTTTACTGAGGAGTGGCTACTGTCTGGCCATGCTACCATAAAGGCCTGATTGTTAGAGTACTGCAGAGATGGCTGTCCTTCTGAAAGTTTCTCCCATCTCCACAGAGGAACTCTGGAGCTCTGTCAGAGTGACCATCGGGTTCTTGGTCACCTCCCTGACCAGCTCTAGGAAGGGTCTTGGTGGTTACAAACTTCTTCCATTTAAGAATGGAGGAGGCCACTGTGTCCTTGGGGACCTTCAATGCTGCAGAAATTTTTTGGTACCCTTCCCCAGATCTGTGCCTCGACACAATTCTGTCTCGGAACTCTACCGACAATTCTTTCGACCTCATGGCTTGGTTTTTGCTCTGACATGCACTGTCAACTGTGGTACCTTATATAGACAGGTGTGTGCCTTTCCAAATCATGTCCAATCAATTGAATTTACCACAGGTGGACTCCAATCAAGTTGTAGAAACATCTCAAGGAAGATCAATGGAAACAGGATGCACCCGAGCTCAATTTTGAGTCTCATAGCAAAGGGTCTGAATACTTATGCAAATAAGAGATTTTATATATATATATATATACACACACTTGCAAAAAAAAGGCTGTAACGTAACAAAATGTGTAAAAGGGAAGGGGTCTGAATACTTTCCGAATGCACTGTAGTGCACTACTTTCGACTAGGGCCCATTTCGGACACAGCAGTTGTGTTTTGAATCACAATAGCATCAGGACGAGAGCCTTTAATTCCTGGAGGAATAAAATAACAAGGGGGTTTGGTAACCACACCACAGACAGACGAGTCAGCCCACCTACTGTTAGGCCCAACCAAGCCTGGGGTTGATCCTCCCTCCCCGGTTGGAGGGCTTGTTTGGGGAGGAGGGCGTGGATTGGGTGTCTGTCAGGTCCAGGGGTCTGTGTGATATTAGCCGTCTGCCAATCTGGCGTGGGGGAATGGACACAGTAATTACTACTGCTCTTACTGCCTCATCAATCTCCATCGCTCCTTCCCTCTCTCCGCCCCCCCCCCCCCCCCCTCGCTCTTTTTCATTCTCTTCATTCCATGAAGGAGAGGGAACAAACAGATTGAGTGACAGAGAGAGCATCACAACAGTCAGAGATGTGGTGCACTACAAACGGAATGAAATCATCTAGTGTGTGTAAGTGACTATATACCAGCGTGAATGTAAATGCATCAATGCAATAAAATAAAAATGTTCCTTAGTCAGTAGAGAGTATAAGTCAGTCAAGGAGCTGTGTATATGAGTATCTGTGTTATTCCCATTTTTCTATGTAGTTAGTAGCGTTGTCACGATACCAGAATGTTGACTTCGATACAGATACCAGGTTTAGTATCACAATACTCGATACAGAAAGGATACTCAATACCAAAAGGATACCACGGCAAATAGAATGTGTATTAGCTTAAGTCACAGAATAACCACTGTGCTTTATTTTTGAAATCATTGATCAATATATTTCATTAAAAAATAAAACACCATACTAAATAACAGAAGAATATCTTTACATGTTCCTTATGCAAAACCATGAAACTCTGAGCATACAAAAGAATTGTACAATTACATCTAAAAACTGTTTTAAAATGTAATTTGATACATATAATCAGGGTTAATATGTGCTCATCTATGGACATATTAGGTAAAATGACAGACCTTTGATTCATTACAGATAAATAATTGTATGTATTAAATTAATAGTTTAGTTCCAAAACATAAAACACTTTGAAGCTCATTTCTTAAGCTTCTATATTGCAATAGTCTACACACCATAGAAATACAAATTGATTTTACACCGCATACTACGAATTCCAGAGTGCATTTCAACTCCCAGGGTACAATGCTCCGCCCAGGGCTTCTGGCTGGCTAGTGGCTACTGCTAGCAAGCCCAGACAAACAAAGTAGTCTAAATATATTGCTGTCAAAGCTAAGTTATGAGAGCATTTCACATTACTTTTGGGTTGTAATCATATTAGCCAACAGCTCGCAGATACAGTGTGGGTAGGCTGTGCGGGTAGGTTAGTCTACATTATGTAAAATGTATGCACTCACTAACTGTAAGTCGCTCTGGATAAGAGCGTCTGCTAAATGACTAAAATGTTAAATGTACATGAGATTATTATGGATAAGAGCGAGAATGTTTATTTGTCAAACGGCAGTCAAACATTGATCATTATGTCACCAGAATAAGATCCTGGATATCTATCGGAAAGGCGCATCAAGATCACCGTGCACTTTCACCACCCTGTGAAGTTCATAATAACTTATTTAATCTGTAGCCTAAAAAACTGCATGTTTTCCCATGTCGTAGTGGGAGGACCACACACCATATCACGACTCAAAGTTTACTTTGATATGATGGTTATTATATCAACATTTGTGCATAAAGGCGTTTCCAACGCCCTTTCTCGCATAATTAATTATAGACACAAAGAGCCCACCATGTCGAACAAACATGATCTGTTGACATTTATGAAATTTGACCAAAACTTCCTGTTTCCGTCACAGCTGTCGTGATTTTTTAAATTAACGCATAAAAACTGTGGATGGAAACGTGGTTACTGTCATTCAAATTATTCACATTTTGTTGCTAGTAGAATAAAGTTACAATGCAAATGTCGTTTTGCAACTAAACCTCCCTTGCACTGCTTTGTAACACCTTTCACATAGTTGTTTCGATGGGCTGGCCCTCGTAATTTTCTCTGTAAGCAAAGTATCCCCATAGTTAGCTTCTGGAGCCAGTTTTGTCAAGTTGCGGGCGTGGAGGTATGATGTTTTCGTAATAAGAAGCCGTCTGAATTTTCTCTCCTCTCTCACTTGCTTCTCAAAAGTGCCTTGCACTTTGTCAGCTGCATGCATGCGCAAGCACAAGTAGCATGGCTAGCTTACTACTTGAGAAGATTCAGACAAATTACTTGACAGTCTCGATCCTCTCATTCCGTATAGGACTTAAGACATTTGACAGAAGTACTAAAAGTAACAAATTATAGTACCGAACCATGTTCTAGTATCGAAAAAGTACAGAAGTTTCAGTATACCGTGCAACACTAGTAGTTAGCCTGCTTAGGTTCAGTTGTAAAGGGTATCAAAGGGTATCATTTGGCCCCGTGTAGCTCAGTTGGTAGAGCATGGCATTTGCAACGCCAGGATTGTGGGTTCGATTCCCACGGGGGGCCAGTATGAAAAATGTTTGCACTCACTAACTGTAAGTCGCTCTGGATAAGAGCGTCTGCTAAATGACTAAAACGTAAAATGTAAATTTACAAACCAAGTTCAGAATAATTTTGTGTTCTACATTCAGTTAACCAGCTTCATCCCAGTTGTCCTAATGCGTTGGTATGTGTTTCTCTTTTGTCCCAAGTGGCATTCTGTACAAGGCCTATGGGAATTTCCCTCTACCCAAACCTTGGGCTCGGCCTGATTTTCAGCCAACAGACGCCGAAGGCTTTAACCTCGTAAAAAAATAAAAAACATTAAAAGTCTGAGGTTTCTCCAACAACTCGTTAAGTTTTACAGCTAGGTTCAAGTGAAGCTCTTTGAAAATGAATAATAATTAAAAGGGCTTAATTAGCCCTGTGATTCACTGGATGGCAGGGCTGATGGCTCAAGTCTGGTCAGACCTACAGCAGAGCCAGGACCAATGCTATAGGCCTACACCTTTGTGTGTCTGGAATTGTACCCTATATAGACCTAGTGCACTACTTTTGACCAGGGTAGGTCAAAAGGGTGCCTTTTCGGACACAAGTGTTTCTCAACCTTTTCTGTACTTGACCCGGCAAGATAGGGGTTTTGCTCCTTGTTGAACATTTTACAATAAATCTTGGCCTAACTTTTGAAAGCCGACTAAAATCAATCAGTGTCAAGGAGCGATCAGCATCATCCCAGGTAACAGTAGCAGTCCACAGACTGGAGGCTGACAAACACTGATCTAGAACAGTCAAGGATGTTTACAGTTAAAGACATTCCATATTTAACCATGGTGTCCTGTATGGTTCAGTTGGTAAAGCATGGTGCTTGCAACGCCAGGATTGTGGGTTCGATTCCAGGGCCACCCATACTTAAAATGTTTGCACACATTACTAAGTCACTTTATATAAAATCAGCTGCTAAAATGGCATACATTATATTATTGATTGTCATAGCCTAGTTCTAGACAACAACAACTAGGCTAACTTCAGGAAAGAATTAAAGCTAAAGTTACAGCTTATTGCCTTTCTTTTCAATAAAAAACCAATAAAAGCAAACAGCTTCATCTGGAGGCTGAAAAACAACACGGTTGTTGCTTTTAAGTGGGTTGAAGTCGATTCCAAAACCCTGGCTTGCACCTCGGCATAAATATTTCAATAAACAGGCCTAAAACAGACGTGCTTGAGGTTTACATGTTCCGTCATTAGTTTTTACGGCTTAGATCTTTAAATATTCTACAACGCTGGCTCAAAACATAACACTGGTTCAGTCAGACCTCTATGCTGGCTCATTCAGTAGAGTACGGTGCTCGAAACACCAAGGGACATGGGCTCGACTCCAGCTGACCCATACGTAAAATGTATGCACGCATGACTGTCTCTTTGGATGAAAGCCTATGCTAAATGGCATGTAATTAACCAGGAAAAATAATGCAGAGAGAGAGGATGGAGGAATGAAATGTGTACCAGTATCATGTCGAGAGACAAAAGGCAGGAGAGCAGAATCCCCGCAAGCAAACTAGGGTTAAAAAGTAACAGCAGTAACTTTTGGCAAAACTTTCCCTGTTGCACCAGCAGCTATTTTTACTGCCAATGCCCAAGAGACAGAGAAAGAAGGAACAGAACGTCAAACCCGAGTGGAAGCAAAGGAATTGTCTCTTCAACTTTGATCAATTCCTAATTTCTCTGTCTCTCCTCCTCATGGCTTTTAATTTGTTTCAGAATGATTCAACAAAAGAAAAACGTTCACACGGATGAAGGTCATGTTTAATGTGAGGGAAAGAAAGAGAGGGGGATAGAGAGAGACAGAGACGAGAGGCGGGGGAAGAGAAAAATAGAAAAATAACAGAGGGAAGAGAGAAAGAGGAGAGACTGTAGTGGTGAAGAGGGGGAGAGGAGCAATGGGTGGGGGTGGGGGGGCTGGCATTTTGAGCAGAACATTTCCTTAACAATGAAAACAATCTACCCAACTGCAGCCCTCAGAGGAATTCACCTCCCCTCCCCCACCCCACTCCCTCTCTACCCCCCACCATTACCATATCAATGCCCGGAGTTCAGAGCAAGTCTTCTCTTTCAAGAATGGGACCAAGGCGAAGGGAGAGAGGGAGGGAGGGAAGGAAGGAGGGGGAGAGGACAAGACTGAAACAGCAGGAGTAGACCAGAGCACTGAGTTTGCTTTTATCCCTGCTGTTCAGTGTGTGTGTGTGTGTGTGTGTGTGTGTGTATGCCTGTGTGTAAAGACTGCAGAAAACCTAGTAGAGATACTAGAGGACTACTGATTGGGGCCTTCCATAGGCTGCAGCAGAGAGCGAGCAAGAAACAGGCCTACGCCTTCACTATGGTGAAACACTAAAACAGTAAAGAAATACGCTAAGGAAAAATAAAGAACAGGTCAGAATCAGCCCAACACAATTTAGGCTTGGGCGGTATACCGTATACCAGGGTATTTGGAAATAGACAGGGCTTAGACTGCTTAAAAATCCTTCTTTAACCTGTCTCCTCTCCATCTACGCTTAACAGCCTGACAGTATTTTTCAAACTATTTCTTAAACGTTTATTTCGTAGCTACTTTAAGTAAAAAGCTGCAGTCAACTTGTGCTATACGTTAGGAGATTAAGAAGATTGCGTTCATTTCATAAATGTTTCATTATGAAACTTACCGGTAGTACCCAGTCACGTGGCGCTTGTTTACAAGCAAGGCCGGCCCACTTATTAGGCAGGATTAGGTGGCCACCTTTGACGGCAGATTTACGAGGGCGGCATTTTCTGAGCTAAACTGACCAAGATGCACCACATACA